CGTGTGTTAGGAGTAGGTGGTGGTGCGTGCGGCGTTGCCGGGCGGGAGGGGAGGCATACTTACCTGGCAGGGGAGACACCATGATCAGGCAGGTGGTTTTCCCAGGGCGAGGCTCATCCCCTGCACTCCGGGTGTGCTGACCCCTGCGATTTCCCCAAATGCGGGAAACTCGACTGCATAATTTGTGGTAGTGGGGGACTGCGTTCGCGCTCTCCCCTGGCTTTTTTTGTGGCAAGGAAAGATATGGCAGAGAGGGCAATGGTACTGCGGATTTCCTTGCCACAAAAAAAGCCAGGGGAGAGCGCGAACGCAGTCCCCCACTACCACAAATTATGCAGTCGAGTTTCCCGCATTTGGGTAGTGGGGGACTGCGTTCGCGCTCTCCCCTGATTTCAAAGTGGGAACAACAGAAAAAAGCGGGGAGAGCGCGAACGCAGTCCCCCACTACCACAAATTATGCAGTCGAGTTTCCCGCATTTGGGGAAATCGCAGGGGTCAGCACACCCGGAGTGCAGGGGATGAGCCTCGCCCTGGGAAAACCACCTGCCTGATCATGGTGTCTCCCCTGCCAGGTAAGTATGCCTCCCCTCACGCCCGGCAACGCCGCACGCACCACCACCTACTCCTAACACACGGACACACGCGCCCACACTCCCGCGCCACACCCGCGCACACCAATCGCTCTAAATCCCACAGCTGCCCGTCACGCAGCGCCACGCAGCTGCTGCGACGCCCGTGGCCGGCGTCTTCTCACGGTGATACGTCCCGCCAGCCCGCGCCCTGCCTGATCTGCATGTCCCCGCCCCCGTCCCGCAAGGCTCCACCCCTGGAGGCCCGGAGAGGCTCTGCCGGCGGGCGGGGCGGGGCGGGACGCGGCGGTGCCCGGAGGAGCGGGTGGGGGCGGGGCCTCCGCTCCATCTCCAACATCGGTAGCGGTAAATAACGAGCAGCACGCTGACCGCTATGTCCTGTCCGCAGCGTCTTCGCTCCCGCTGCGCTGCTGCCGGGGGCTGCTGCCCCGCGCCCCCCTGCCAGCGGCCGGCCCGGACCGAGAGCTGCTCCGGTCTGCGGGCACCGGGGCTCGCCTCACCGCCGCCGGGAGGCCGGAACGGCGCCACCCGCAGCACCCACCCCCCTCCCGCGGCAGCTGTGACCAGCGGCTCAGGGAAGTCCCGGCGGTGGCTCTGGTGATGATGAGTCCCGGTGAGAAGCGTCCCGGGAGTCGGTGGGAACAGCCCTCTCGGCCCCCCCGTGTGCTGAGAAGGGCTTGGGGAGACGGGGAGGGGGC